GAAGATGTGGAATATCCATATCTCCCTAATGCTAGTGTCAGTACCTTTAGGTCTCACCATGATCGATTTCTTCACTTAATGATCTCTTGGTGGTTTAGACCATCCGCAGGTCGGTACTCCACACTACGTACTACAGACTTATAGTGGATGCACTGTATAAAGAACAAAAAGAAAATCAATTTTACACATATTATCTTTAGCGCGCTTGTCGATATCATAAACATCATTCCCTCAAAGCATGTAGAAACCCTACCTTATGGTTGTCTACTAAGCAATTTGTTTATCAAACTCGGCCTAGATGTCTCCCTTGACAATCCTATTCCACTCCAAAACCCAATCAATATCACATCCTTAAAGAAATCGGATTGGAAATTGGATGAGAACACCGGACTATGGTCTTTTCGACCCGGTAAGCAAACCCCGGGAGCTAGTTCTTCACGAGCTGCTCCTAGTTCTTCTCGTGCTCCTCCTCCTCCTCCAGCTCCTGACGCTGATAATGATCCAGAGCTTCAAAGGCTTATGAGAGATATTGACGAGGAAGTACCAGCTCGGCAAGATGATCAAACGCCACCTTATTTCCAATCTTTTCTAGAGTCGTTTGATCTGCGTTTTGCTTCCATGGAGTCTACGATTACTGAGTTTCAGAGGGAGATGCGTGATCGTATGGATGCTCTTACTCTTGAAGTTAGAGCTCATTATCCTCCTCCTCCTCCCGATTCTGCTATGGATGATTAAACGTTATTTGATGATATTTGGTTTTAAACTTTAAGAACTTGGATTGTTAAACTTTTTGATTTGAATGTTTATGTTTGTTTGGATGTTTGGATGCTTGAATGTTTGAACTTAATTTTAATATATTTGGTTTGAATTTTATTCATTTTGCATCATTAGATATATGACCAATTATGCCATTTCACATTTTATTATGAATATTGTTTATGAAAACTAATGGCTAATCTCTCTTTTGATTGTGATCTTAGCAGCTTATTATTAATAAATCAATTGGCTAATGTTTTTCAAAATTCTTGTTTAAAACGTTTATATAGAGTCTTTTTGATTTAACAAAAAGGGGGAGAAAATTTAAGATGTGCTATAGTAAGGGGGAGTAAGTTTTTCAAAATCGATTTCAAAAATAATTTCTTAAACAAATCTTAAAATTATTCAAATGTTTTGTTATATTAATAATTTCTTAAACAAATCTTAAAATTATTCAAATGTTTTGTTATATCAAAAAGGGGGAGATTGTTGAAAACATTTTTGATATTTCGATATAACAAATTAAGTTAAATGAATTTTAAGATTTCACAAATGATTTTACAAATTCGATTCAATTAACCGAATATCAAATTATTACTCCAAGTTTTTCAAGATCAATTTTAATCCTTACTAAATGTGTAAAATTGTGATTTGTACTTAAACTATTTTTGAAACAATTTTCACAAAGTATTTTGAACCAAAAACAAGCCTTAAATCAATTATTCAAAGGCATGCACCGATGCATCAGTCCATGCATCGATGAATTAATTGAACATCGAATGCATTCCATGCACCGATGCACTCTCCATGCATCGATGCACCGATGCATCAAGTGTTCCAACGGTCAAAATATTTGAATTTTACACGAATGCACCGATGCATACTTGATCATGCATCGATGCATGAGACGCTCCACCTAGAAAAATTAATTGTTTTCACACTTAAACGGCTCTATTATCCCCACTAATTATCACCAACGTTCAGAATTGATTCAAGGGGTATTTAAACAAGTTCTGGAGCCATTGATCAACAACAAGAAACATCAATCAACTAGAATCAAGAGAGAAAGCATCAAACCTCAAGTTTGAGTATTTCAAACCTATTTTTCATCCAATATTCATTTGCTTTCAAGAACACTTTTGTACTCAATTGTATTTATCCTTGAGTGTTCTTTTCTTTGTTCTAGAATTGTGCAAACATCTTACCTTGTGAGGTTTTCTTGTAAGTTTGCAAATTTGTAATCTTCTCTTTGGGAAAAAGAGTGTTCTCAAGAGTTGGGGTATACTCTTGAGGGATTTTGTAAGGTTATCTCTTTGGCCTCAAAAGAAAGAACAAATTAGTGAATTTGTTGGAAAATCCTTAGTGTGGATAGCTAAGGTAGTGGACGTAGACTTTGTTGAGAAAGTCGAACCACTGTAAATCGCTGTGCAATTACTTTAAATTTTCTGCAAAAGCTTCCATGAAATTTTTAATTGCCAATTCACCCCCCTCTTGGCCGATTCCGTAGATCGATTAACTCAACAATTCGCCCTCAAATTAAAGGGATAAATATATGTACAACCCTCTCTGTCGTTCTTATGGTAAATGGCTCAACTGTTTTAAAACATGACTATTCAGTCATACCGCTTGTTGATAAATCTACGAAGTGGTCCTCTATCCATAGATGCCCACTGCATGTTCAACTGAAGATACTTGGACGTGTTATGCCTGTTGTCATTACATTGGTTGTAACCTACAAGTGTCGCTAGGGCCTTTTGGCCATTTACGTCCCTCATGAACTAAGTTTTATCCTTATGGACCATCCCTATCTCTTACGGACCTTAATCGGATCAAATCTGATCATTCAATGTGGGTAGTATCAATACTCTACTCATAGTATCGATACTCTAGGGCCAAGTATCGATACTCCTATGAGTACCAGTACCAAAAATGCATTCTGTTGCTGAAATAGGGACTTAGTATCGATACTATAGGGGTAATATCGATACTATCCTAACATTATCGATACTCCCTACCTGAAATCCCTAATTTTTACCCCAATTCATCTAACACCAATATTGTTCATCCCAGTATCAATACTTAAACCCTGAAATAGATATTTTAGGCTAAAAATACCTAAAAATTAGTCTAAAGGCTATGGTTTGATTCTAAATCATATACTAATATTGTGGGTAGTTATTTAAGGTATTAAGGTGTCATAAAAACACATACTTTATAGCAAATTCATGATTTATGGAATGAACTAAATGTGAACCCCAAAATGCTTAACTACCAAATCTTAGCAAATTTCTTGAATTTTATGAAAGCTCAATACTCCAAAAGATTAGAAATACACTACATTGATGATTGAATCCCGAAATAGAGCTCATTTAACTAAAAATCACTCTGCTCTTGGATTAAATGATAAAGCACCTCTTTTTCTTGGAAAAATGAAAACCCAAGCTTTAAATCCTTAAAAAGATGTTGATAGAGGGATTGTGGACGAATTTGAAACATAAAATTGACCCAATATCTTACCTTTTATATGGAACTTGAAGAGAAAAATGGAAAAGGAAATTAAAGAAATTGAGAGAATATGAAGATGAAAGGTATAAAAGTCTCCATCTTTTAAAAATGGAAAGTTTGCACTATCGATCCTCCATCATCTTTCCATAATTCATAAATCTCATTTCTATGGCAAATTGGGTCGAAGTCCAACCTAATTAAGTCTAACGACTTGAATTATAAATTTTGCAGGTCTACTTACCTCTCGGGTAAACTCAAAATTCATGTTGTTACATTATGTTCTTCCAACTGTGACCTCACCCTAGTTAAAGAGAATCATCCTTATTTCAAACAAAAGGGTAATTTACTTATTTGGTCCTTCCTTGTTCCAAAAGTATCATTTTTATCATCTTCTAGGTTCAAACCAAGTCTAAATCCATGCCACACTTAACCCAATTGTTTCATAAAGGCCTACTATAATCCTTTAAGCCCAAACGATTTACTCAAAACTATTGACCCAATATTTGAGTTATTACAATATCCCTATTTGGCAAAACCTAACATAAATCATTTTCAATGGTTTTCATTATTTTTCAAACATAAAAATTATAAAACAACACTTAATCCTTCATAATCAAGCCTTACATCGCATAATTCAACATAAATTCATCATCTTCTAAATCCAAACAAACAAACGAGAGAATCATGAATAAATTATACTAAATGATGAAGAATTTCATGTATATCACTTTTGTATTTCATGTCTTTCTCAAAAATTTTAACAAAAAGGCTTAAAAATAAAATGAAAACTTTCCTTTCTTATATATAGAGTTCACGACAGTAACAGAAAACATGAGCAAAGTTTTTTAATTCTTCTTTCAATACATAATTTAAAAGAATGACATTTATTTATTAAAATAAATTTTCATTTTATTACAAAATGACCATTTAACCTTTAAAATTTAATGCTCATTATCAAGCCACATGTTCACATTTTCATCCAAATGCTAGGATGAATCCAAAGAGTTCGTAGTTATCTACTTTGCCCTTGCAAAAATCCTTAATTACAAATTTGTCATTTTTCATTAGACGACTTAGATTTAACATGAACAATCAACTTAAATCCAATGATTCATGTTAAACCCTAAAATTTTGATTTGATCCAATTATCCAACAAAAATCTGAACTAACACATAATAAATTTTATCACAAAATCCGTATGAAAAATCTAAGTAACACCAAAACATCATTCTTGCAAGTAAATTATTCATTTACAAGATAAAAATATCTATCTTGAGAAATTATCATTTTAGTCCCTAAATTTTTCTTAAATTTATACTTTACCTACCAAACTTTCCATTTATGCTGTTTGGTCACTAAAAGAAATTTTGGGTATTAAAATAGTTATTAAAAATGTCAAGTTATTCCATTTACTATTCAAGTTATTTGAGTTCTATTTTACAACTCAATTTGAATTTAAAAAAATTTTCGAGTCTAGTCGAGTTTATGAAATTACAATTCAAAGTCAATTCGAGTTGAATCGAGTTTTACTCACCCCTACATCAATCGAGTTTAGTCGAGTTTATTAAATTATAATTCAAATTCAATTCTAGTTGAATCGAGTTTTACTCACCCCTACATAAATCACACTGAATTACCTAAATATTAATGTTTAACATACAAGAAGGATCAAAACCATAATTACACCTTACTATTTCTTCCTTCACCCTGAAATCTGAGTTCGATTATATTGTAAATTTTTCGCACGTTTGTACGAAAATAACAAAGCAAACAGGTGAAAGGGAAGAACTGGGTTTCAACCAATTGGTTCGTCAAAATTCATCAACTTATGTGAAGGGAAATCAGATTTGCTATCTTGGTAAGATTTACAACTCCGTTGAAATCAATGAAAAGTTTCTGATTTAGCTGCTGTTTAATCGCTTATTTTTGTACGATTCTGTCTCTAGGTTTCGAGTAGTTTTTTTTACGTGTCATTAACGCATAGCTGTAATTTCTTTCTTCTCTGCGATTCAATAGAAAATCAAGTGAATTGAGAATGCTGCAGCATCAAATCGTTCAATCCCCAGCTAGATTAGGGTTAGCAAACCCTAATTCGCCTTCTCTTCAAAACTCTACTCCACCCAAATACCCTTCTTCTCAACCCCAATCCCAATCCCAGCAAAAAACACCCAACCCCCATGTTTCCGCCATATCTTCAACCCTCCTTTCGCTTCTCCCTCCACTCCCCAGAGCTCAATCCCTTCTTCTCCAAATGGCTTCTTTAGCTTCCAAGCTCTTTGAAGTTTCCCCGAATCGGGCCCTTTGGGTTCCGGCTTTTCGAGGGTCTCTCCCTTCTTTTCTCTCTTCACAAATACAATCAATGCCGCCGTCTCCACTTGAATCCACCCCTGCTTCTTCTAAAGAAGTGATCTCGTTGTTCGCATCCCTCCAAACGCAACTCTTCGAAGCTGTCGGCCAGCTCCAAGAAATCCTAGATCTTCAAGATGCTAAGCAGAAGATTGCGAGGGAAATCAGGTTTAAAGATGGTGCTGTGCTTGCTTTTGCCAATAAACTTAAAGAGGCGGAAAGGGTTCTTGATATTCTTGTCGATGATTATTCTAGTTATAGGAAGGCAAAGAGGTTGAAACTGGAGGATACTGGTGTGGAGGAAGATGATGATGATTCATGTACCACTACAGTTGCATCTCGGTTGAATTTGTCGGATATTTTGTCCTATGCACATCGGATTAGTTACACTACTTTTGCACCTCCTGAATTTGGTGCCGGACAGGCACCCCTTCGTGGGGCACTCCCCCCTGCTCCACAGGAGGAGCAGATGCGTGCTTCTCAGCTGTATGCTTTTGCCGGTCTCGATGTTGGTTTACCTAAAAACGTCAAGACTGACGAGAAAACTGTTGAAGCGATGATCGAGCCACCGCCTGTGCAGCCTTCAGCTTCCAATCAACTTGCCAATTTGGCAGCCCTTCAGGGTTTGCTTCCTCCAAATTTTACAGTTCCATCGGGCTGGAAACCCGGAATGCCAGTGGAGTTGCCAACCGACTTGCTGGTGCCACCACCAGGATGGAAGCCTGGGGACCCAGTGCCACTGCCTCCATTGGAGTCCTTGCCTATACCTAGGATGGAAGGGCAAAACGTACGGCCTGTTCCACCTCCAGGGTTGCATAGACAACCCGAGTCAATTAAAGTGCGACATGTTGAGCTCGATATTCTTGATCCAGATGATGATAGCAGTGATTATAGTAGTGATGATGGAAGCTCTGATGATGATGATGAAGATTGATAAACTGATAGTCTGAACTACTTGAAGTGTACTCGTAACTCATTACGAACAAAACTGACTATTAAGTTTTCAATCTTTACCTCTATGCTATTGTTTCTTGTCATTTTAGTTGAATAGGAAATGAAGTACTAGGCTCTGCTTTACACTAACATTTGGTATCTAGGTAAAGAAAAAAGATGACTATAGAGCTGAAAAGCAATTATTTTAAGCATCATTCTTCATTAGGAATTGATTTGCCTCTAGAAGAATGAATTAATGGTATTTGTAGAACTGCAAGAATCGTCACTCTATTGTTCCTATGAAATGTGATTAAAAGAGGTATAAATCTGTAAAAGTTTCTACAACTTGGTACTCACTTGCATAATGGAGATGATGAAACTTTGTGCAAGTTAAAATTATACGGGGATGGTTAGCACATGATTTTAAGATGATTCTCCACTAAATTAGGGTATTTTTGATGGAATGATTACATATTAGTTTGGCATCATGATTTGGGTATTATTTAAAACCATGGTTATAATTAATTTGGATATATGTACACGACAAACAATTGTATTGTATGTACGTTAATAAGATAATGGCAACGCTTCTTATGCCCTTAATTTATACACTGAGAATAACATTTGGTTAAACATTCATTTCAAATTAACAAGATAGTGTGCTATTTAGAAGTCTTAAGTTTAAATAATTGCGACTGTAGGATGTATATGTTAATGAAATAAGAAAGATTATGAACATATACTATATTGTAATCACTCATATTTAAGCTACATTTTTACGTCAACCGTGTTGCTTCCTCCACGTGTCTAACTCCATCGCTCCAGCATCTGAAAATTTACCTCGTTTTCCCCTCCAAAATCAACCCTCAGGTCGGCCCTACGTCCTCCCCGATCGCTGCCCCTTCCATGGCTTTGACATCCGCCCCTCCCTCGCTGTTTTATTGGAAAATGATTTCCGCCATTGTCCGCATCTCCGACGACCTCCTCATTTGCCATATAAGTTCAGAAATCCCTCGTAATGAAACCATGGCATATATTCCATACTTGATCGGGTATAATCACATGTATCTCCGCATCCTCGTACGAAAACTACACAATCTGAAACCAATAACAATAGAAGAAACTCAAGCATTTCATAAAATAAAAACGTTGAACAAATATATAATTTTAGTTGATGTTAAGTGATATTGATTAACAATTTTTTTAAAGAGTTACGTTAATTTACATTATAAACTCATTAAACGTATAACAATTTAAAAATAAACATCATTTATAAATTCGTTGTATTATATTTTTAATTATTATGCATATTATTAAATTTTATATTATATGTAAAAGATCGAACTTCCAAGAACCTATTCGTAAAAATCTTATGAATGTGCTATGTTTGTTTTAATGGAGGTTAGGTTTTACCAATAAATATACTTAAATGCAAAAAGGGTTATGTGTATGGACGATATTAGTTCGAATATTTTGTATATTTTTAAAAAAAAAATTATAACTATGTTTTAAAATATAAATTCATTAGAAATTTATTAATTAGTTAAGTGGTGAAAGTTATTTATATCATTTAAAGAAATTAAATATATATTATAATAATAAATAATTCATCATTTAATATCAACGTTAATTTCAAATCTGTTACGGATATTAATTAAAGAAAATAAAAATTAAATATCATTTGAGTCAACAATATTCAAACTTGTAAAGAGGAAGTAAGGGTGTTTGATTGACAAAATATCTTAATTAATTATCTTAGAATTTATATTTGATACTATCAATTATGACTATGCAACCATATAAATTTTAATAATAAATAAAATAATTTACATAATTTTTATACACGTTTCAGTCGTAAAGTAAGAATGAATCATGGCCGTTGAAAACATAAGAGAGAGCGAAGTAGATGGTGGACAGTTGTCGAATAAAGGGGAGAAGTGCGGGGCAGTGGGGGACAGTTTCCCTAGCAAAAAATGGGATTGCCAAGAGGGGCAAATAGCCTAGGCGCAGTGATTGTGTAGCCACACTCCATTTCCATCTTTCCAACTCAAATCTTTTTCTTCCACAATCCGAGGGAAATAAATAAAGCACGGTTCCTATAATACACTAACTTTAATGTTATCTTACATGTATTTTCTATGACTTCTTTTATAACCCATGCATCTCGGTAAACATACAAATTATTAACATATATAGTAAATAAACCAATTTTAAATTGTGGGTTCAACATTCTTTACCAATAGACTATATGCTGGCTTCCTATGTTATTGAGTTAATTGCACTGATATTTCTAGGGTATAGTTCAAGTTATCCTCAAAACATTTTCATTCAATTATTTAAAAAAATAGTAACATGCATTAACCAAATTATCTCAATGACTAAATGGATGATTGTTGTTCCTAAAGATTGATCTCGAGTTCGAGCATCAGCATATATGGGCATAAGTAGATGTATGCACTATCCAGGGTGGGCATGAGATCTATCACTGTTTAATATATGTATCCACTCTAAAAAATATTTCTAGATCTATCACTATTTGCAAAGATGTTGAACATTAATTATTAAATGATTTAAAACATTTAGAATATATATTATCTTATAATCACATCGGTTTAATAATATAAATCATTAATATACCAATCAAGATTTTATGTCAATTTTATTGGCTTTTTGAATGCAAATACATATATAAGTCTGTTTTTCACCATTTTTTTTTTTGAAAATTAGGTATGCTTTTTAACAATAAATCAACAATCAATCATGTTTCCAAAAATAAAATTTGCATATTTAATCATTTTGAACACTTTTGAGATATAGTTAATTGACTTAAATATTTTAATTTAATCATCTTTTAAATTTTTTAAAATTTTAAATTGAGCAAGTTAATCACACAGAAAATATATATCTTGAAAATTTAATCTATTTTTTTCAATAAATCCCTACTATTAATCTAAATCTAAAACAATTAAGAAAATTCAATCTATATATTTTAGTTGAACATTTTAGCATTTTTGGGTTATAATTATAATATCATATTAAGTGTAAATAATAAAATTTGAAGTTAGAATAAAAATTAATTTTACATTTGATTTTATAAATATTTAAAAGTTTTATATAAAACATCAAAAAAAATATTTTAATATAAATTAATTTATTCAAATTTAAAATTAAAAGACATAATAAAATATTTATATTTAATTAATAATAATTTTAATATTTCAAATCAAAATATTAACTTTTAAAACTTATTAAAATTAAATTATTTTTAAATATAAAAAATTAAAATAATTTTAATATAAATTTTACATTAAAATATTTCCTTTTGTAGTAAAAGATAAAAATAAATTTAAGTATAATATAATTTTTTAATAAACTTTTAACGTAGAGATTGAATGAAAGATAAATCCTTAATCGAAAAGAAGTAAAATAAATATGGGGTTTTGAATTTCTTTTTCTTTTTTGTAATATAATTTAGGCAAAATAAAAAATGGCAAAACAGGCAGCAATTTACCCAAATAACACTCTAACAATAACAACATTTCTCTAAATATTACCGATCTAGCACTCTTTCTGAGAAAGCGTTTATGAGGCGTGCCTTCGCAGGATTTTATTCGAATTGGCGTCATGGTGTAAAAGCGTGAATCATGAATCGCACCTTAGCAAGATTCTGCTCGAGCTGGCGCCGCGTAGCGAAGGCGTAGATCATGAAATGGCGCCTTCGTTGAGAAATCTGACACTTGCAGGGAATGCGCTCCTTCCATTATTCACTTTGAATTATTGCGCACTCCATTATTACATGAGCCTTAACTCTCCGGTTATTCACTCATCCCCTCCCCTATAAATACCCTCGAATGCAAACATCAAGTCACACCAAAATTACTTTCACATTCTTCCTTTTATTAAGCTAAGTAGATTTTGTTATAGTTTTTAGAAGGTAAAATTATTTTTTATTATGTTATAATTATTTGACTAAATTTTATTATACTAATTATTTTGTATTATTTTTTACGGTTGTAAAATGGAAGGCATAATTAAATCTTGAGACATTTTGTCGATACAATAACAATATTAAATTATGTTATTTGAATTATTGTGAATTCTTTATTTTTTTAGCATTAGTTTATATTTTAATTCATATATTATTTATTTAATTATGTGTATTTCAACTTGTTTTTTGCAAATACAAGACTTTGAAACTCTCAAAATGAGGTGTATTTTAGCTATAGTTTACTATGATGGAGAAATTTGGGAAAATGAAACTGATGTTATTTTTGTATCAATTCATTCATTCAGAATATCCTTAAAGAGAAACGTCACTCTTGAGGAGTTGATCTCTAAAATTTCAATGAAGGTTCTTGTTGAAAGTACTAGAAGATTTCCCTCACTTCAATACATATTTCCAACTGCATTATTTCTGACAACTTATACAACGTTCGAACCCTCCAAAGATGACGATGTTACTATGATGGTTGATACTTAGAATCAAAATTCAGACGTTGATACACAAATATATGCCACATTTTTTTAAGTGTTTGTGGTTCGTGGTATGTCATTATGCTCTGTTGAAAACATTTTGATGTTTTGATATAACAAATTAAGTTAAATGAATTTTAAGATTTTGCAAAAGATTTTCTAAGTATATTCGATGTAATTATTCGAATATCAAAATATTACTCCAAGTCTTTCAAAGTTCATTTTAATCTTTACTAAAGTGTAAAATTGTGTTTTATACTTAAACTATTTTAAAACAATTTTACAAAGTATTTCGAGCCTTAATCGAGCCAAAAATATTTTCTTTTTAAAGGGTTTCAAGAAAAATCAGATTGCCTAGGGGGAACAGATTCCCCCCAGGGGGTATCGATTCCCCGGGAACAGATTCCCCCCAGGGGGTACAGATTCTCCCCTGAATGGTTTGGCTCCGAGAAATTTCAGTATGCTCGGAGGGAACCGATTCCCCCCAAGGGGTACCGATTCCCTCACTGTTCATCAGCCCAACGGTCATAATATTTGAATATTATGAAGGGGTATCGATTCCCTATGAAGGGGTACCGATTCCCCCCATTCTGGGCAGCCTATTTTTGCAGAAAAACCATTCCCAAACGGCTCCAAAACATCCCCAACGGCTAGATATGACTTCAAACACATTCCAAGCTATAAATACAAGCTAAGGACACTTGAAGAAGAAATAGA